AAGAGCTTCACAGATAAGGAAAAGCTAAAGGAGTTCATCACCACCAAACCAGTATTATATGAAATGCTGAAAGGTATCCTTTAAGAAGAGGAAGAAGAAGAAAAAGGTAAAGATACAAATGATGAACAACAAACATGCATCTATCAACCAGTGAATCTAAGAATCAAGTGAATAAATAATCTGATGAACAGAATGAACTGGTGATTATAATAGAATCAGGGACATAGAAAGGGAATGGACTGACTATTCTTGGTGGGGAAAGGGGTGTGGGGGATGCGGGAAGAGATTGGACAAAAATCGTGCACCTATGGATGAGGACAGTGGGTGGGGAGGGAGGGAGGAGGGTGGGAGGGGAACCGGGTGGAGGGGAGCTATGGGGGGAAAAAAGAGGAACACTGTAATAATCTGAACAATAAAGATTTAATTAAAAAATAAAATAAAATAACTTGGAAGATAAAAAAAAAAAGAGTCCCTCTTCTAAGGATGGGCCATAACCACATAAAGCAAGCGCTCTCGGGAGGGAAGCAGCATCGCAGTACCTCTCCCAGGCATTACTGGAGGGTTCCTAGGGCTGGAAAGAGGAGCTTGGTGGGTTGGCCTGTAACCAAACATCCCCTCTTGCCAGTAATTGTTTCCACTGGGCACATGGCCTCGCTACAAACAAGATTTCCCAGCTGGCCCTGAAGCTGGAAGTGGTCATAGGACTCTGTCACCAATTGCACTGCCAGACTCCTCTGGGCCTGTGTCTTTGTGTGTAAATGAGGGATCTACCTTCTTCCAGAAGTGCCAATAACAGGGAAAGGCATAACAAGCCAGGACTGAAGGAATGAATGTTTATTTACTACCTAGGTGTCAGGATTTCACAATTACAGCCTCTTCGTGCCTCCTTAAATATTACTTACACAGCAGGCACCATCTAGTCCTATTACACACACAGAAAAGGGAGCAGAGAGTAAACCAGTCAGAACCGAAGGAAAAGCACTGGCACCTGCCATGGAAACGGTGCCTGAGTCTCCCAGCAGCACACGCGATGCCTCTGCTGTGTGTGTGCTTCCCATGCTGCGCCCTGGCCCCTCGCATCCTCTCACCAACGACTCCCACCACCTTTGAGGCTGGCAATGCTGTCACCCACTTGCCCCTACTCCACACGTAGCTGGGTCTCCCACACCCACAGAGCTGGGGAAGATTCCACCAGGGTCTCCAGAGAGCTCGGAGACCCACCGCTGTTCAGGAGGGGCCACACCGCTCTGGATTCTCAGCACTCTGAGGAGAGAAGGGCTCCTGAACAATCCATTTCCCAGCTACGCTGAGACCTCCTGCTGGGAGAGCCAGGGCAAATATCTAGGCTGTGACCCGAATCCAGCGAGAGGGAACCCCTCACCGCAATGCTGTCAGCAGAGAAGCCATCTCTGTCCAACAACCTCCCTGCCCTCATTCTGCACCTCCAGAGGTTAGAAATCCAGGCCTCCTTCAAGGCTGAGCATTACCTACTTTTGCTAGTTCATTTCCCAAAAAAGGGATGGCTCTCTTCAGGGCATCCAACTCTGCTATGCTGCCAGTTATGGGTTCAGTCCATGCCCAGCGATGGCACTGACAGCCCTCAGCCATCTGGGGAACTCAGGTCCTCTTCAGCCTCCACACCACCAGCTAAGATGGCAGAGCTGTTAGAGAGCTGCGGATAGTTTAAGCAGGAGGTGACCAAGCAGGAGGGCACAAGACCTGGGCCTTTTTCCAGGGATATGACCCCCCTACTGAGAACAAGCCTTCCTACTGAGCTTCTGCCTGTTGGTCCACAAGAGGCCAAGGGAACTTCTGCCCATTGCAGGTGGCACCTGTCAGAGGCCCGCTTAGGACAATCCTGCTACGGTAGCTTCACCACCTGGCATCCTCCATGCCCACCCCAGATCCAAGGAGCTGTGCTTTAGGGAAAACCCTGGAAGCTTGAGAATGTGAGCTTCACTGAGCCAGGGGGAAAGAAAAGGAAAGTGGGACAGAAATACCGAGGGGCCATTTAGAGCTATCAAGGGGGGTGGGGGAAGGAAGGCTTTCCTTCAGGCAACTGTGCTTCTAGAACTGGGGGCGGCTCATATGCAAGGCCTGGATGGAATGGGAATCGTCCATTTTGCTCCCCATTCGGTGGGAAAACAAGAGTCCCACAAAAACAAAGGCTTCCCTTGGCAAAGAAGCAGTCACAAAATCTCGAGGTCAGAAAGAGCCTTTCAAGGTGAAGTCCAAGCCCATCCACTGTCTGAGTTCCTGCAATAGTTCATGTATTTCTCAAACTCATCTGACCATGACCAACAGAACTGTGCATTTCATGCTGGGATGAACACACACACATATGTGCATGCACACACATGGGAATTGAAAATTATGAAACATTTTTACTGCATGTATACATTTTGTATTATTCTGTCGTTTTCACCAAAGCTGACTTAAAGAGTAGGAAAAACACTGGTGACAGCAGCCAGCCAGCACATCTGACACTGTTAGGAGCAGGGCTCTCCACGCTCCAGGTAAGGCACGAAGAAAAATCTACCTTTCAG